GAGGGGCAAAGTACCTTGCACTTAGAGAAGAGAAAGTACATGCACACAGGTAGTTATTGAACAGTAGCTAACATAATCCACACCCTAGCTTGCTTTGTCATAGGGGCACATTTACTTGATCCTGTTAGTGTGCACTGGCCTAAAGCCTCATGCTAGTAAATCTTTTGCAGCAAACAATTATCAATTCAGTAATAGCTACTCTGAATTGGTTAGCTTCCTTCTCACTTTCCAAAAAAGCTTTGACAATACCTGACTTAACTCATTGCACATTAAACTTAAATTTATATTATGCCCATCACTATGGTTATGATGATCATTTTAAAGTAACAGATGAAGGAGGGATGCCTCATGAGCAGGACAGTTCAGGTACTTCCAATGACATTTCTGCATCCTGGGACACTGTAAAGACACCTTTGCACAGCCTATGCCAGGGGAAGTGATAGGTATGAGGTAGGCTTGTTAGGAGAGGGATCATTAGTATTGTTCCCTTCACTCCCTTTGTGCCTCATAGGGAGACCTTGCCTGGAAATGTAACTTGGTTACATTTTGGTCCGTTTTTATATGGACATGTCTCTCTTTGTGACTTTCACACAGGCACTTATGACAAGTGTAGGCTGTTCATTTGGTAGTACCTGCAGATAAATCTGTGGAGGGGGAAGGGGCATGGGGGGTGCAAATTGAGGCCCTCACAGTGAGGCAGCGAGTGAGTCTGGGGGTGCTGCCCAGCCAGGGCAGTGAATGGGACCCTGGGGCTGGGGGAGTGGGTAGTGGGATGAACCCATGGGCAGCTCATCCAGGGGATCAGCATCCCACTGCTTAAAAATGGTGGTGGGGGCGCTTGGAACTAAAGCTCATCAAATGAACTTTAGTTCAAGCACCACCTTCACCATTAAGCACGGGGATGCTTTTAGGAGCAGAGCCAAGTGGGGCAAAGGTAGAGGCAGGCTGCCTGCTATGGTCTTGGGGTAGTCCGCCCTGCTGCCTTTGCCCCAGGACCTGTGCACTGGCTGTGCCGTGTCTCCTGCCCGCCCAGTGGTGGGAGGCACAACTCGCCACCCCCACTGCCACCAGGGAGGCAGAGGATGTGCAGCTGGGCACCTGGCTCCCAGGACAAAGGCAGCAGAGTGGAGAACCCACATCCACCCCATTCACAAATCCAGGGGGTATATGCTCCTCCTCGTCTCCCATAGGGGTGTGCGCAGGAGCAGGGAGCCACCGCCTCTCCCCACCTTGCCCATGTCCCCTGGATGAGCCACCCATTGCTCTGTCCCACTCCCCACCCCAGCCCCAGGGTCCCATTCACTGCCCTGGTTGGCAGTAAATTCACCCAGCCCCTGCCCCTGCCCCAGTCTTTCCCTCACCATGGAGGCCTCTATCTACCCCCCACGCCTCTCCACAGACTTACCTGCAGGGCACTGCTCTCCACACTGCCTGGCTGCATTCCTGGCCACGTGCATGCAGCATCCAGGGGCCCTGGCCAGAAGGCATATTATATTTATCGGTACATTATCAGCTATACCGGCCAAAAAAAGCCGATAGCCAATAAAGTTAATTTTCCTTTTATCATTTCTGATCCAATATGGCACCAATATATTGGTAAACCTCTAATTTTAGACTCAGCTGGCAGTTGTATGAATGATCAAACAAGAGAGCAAAGCAAATCTATTGATTTTATTAGCTACCAAAATGGGCCAAAACCAGCTCTGTGTAAACAGGTAAAATCTACTGAAGGAGTCCAGGTTCTACAAGTTAGATATGCACCCTAAATCTGCTACTTATGTGCATGTTGAGTCTTCAGTTACATCATTGTATACTCATAAAAGAACAGTATCCATTTTTTCCGTTATGAACTTACCAAGTAAACTGTTTGCGAGAAACAGTGATGCACACACATTCATTACCTCTCATTTTATTGGGGTCTGTGTGGTGTACAAGCATATTCAATAATGAGAGGTGTCATAGGTGTATAAAAATTCTACAATACTGAAATCATCTCGGATCATATAATTAGTCTTATCATCATGCAAACACACAAGGGAGCAGCATTAGTTGTGCGTGACTTCTGAATGCTCAATCATGTAACTTTAATATTATCTTAACAGGAATATTCTTTAGCTTTTGTTCAGTGAGGCTGCACAGGAAGCCGTGCACGTACAAACTAGATGTGTCTGGCCATTGGGAGCAATGATTCAGTGAACTGCAGTGGGAAAAATCTGCTAATTGAAACCTAGATATAGGTCTCTCATTTGCTGGAAAACACAAGGTGCCCCAAGTCAATTTCCTTCTCACTTCATGGCAAGTGAAGCCAGTGAGCAAGTCCTAGAGAGAAATTTTTTAAAAATGGAAGATTTTGGAATGTCATTTAGACAATTACAAGCAACACCCCCCTTCCCAATTTTTACATGATATTTACTTTCTGTTGCAGTTATAAACCAGTAGTTATAACTATAAGAAGGGAATATGCTATTTATAGCAAATATTAACCAATGAAATATTGCATAGATGTAGGTTGGGTACTGGAACAAGCTTTGCCACATTTTTATCATTACTGTAGTACTAAAGAGCTCTCCTGCTGACAACAGTAAAATGTGGTTTTTAGCCTTTACATTTTTAGTTGCCCCTTAAACACATTGCAAATTGCAACTTAAATTTGTAATTCTATGGATAGAATATTAAAAAAGGGGGAAAATATTACCCTATAAAATGGCTAAAACACAAAGCTAAACACACTACAAGAAGTAAGCAGTCATATTTTGCCATCCTGTGTAGCAGGGGCATGGTCCTCTTCTTGGATCTCTTGAGGATGTCTTAATAAACTACGTTCTGTCCTTGCAGTGGCAGGACATTGACAGTGTCCACTAGGGCTGTGTGAAATTTTGCCAAATGTTTCATTTCAAAGCTTTTTCGATGCGTTTCAAGCTGGAAACAGCGAAATCGAAATGAAACAAAAAGCTTCGAAACAGCTTCAAAACAAAATGAGGCCACTCGAAACATTTTGAGTTTCAAAGCAACCCGGTGGTGGGAGGCAGAGTGCAGCCCGGTGGTGGGAGGCGAGGAGAACCAGGGCTGCACTCTAACTGGCTCCACCAGACCCACAGAGCTCAACCTGCACTCCCAGCACTGCTGGAGTCCTCCTGGGGGTGTGGGCCCCCAGATCTGTGTACCGGATGATAGGAGGCTGCCACTGCTGCCTGGGGCCAGTGGCAGCATCAGTCTCCTGTGCCCAGCAGCAGCTTCCTGTCATCCACCGCAGATTTAGGGGCCCGCACCCCCATGAGGAGTCCAGCGCAACCTTCCCGGGGGCACGGGTCCCTGGATCTGTGCCGGATGACACGAGGCTCCCGCTGCCGGCAAGTGTCATGAGTTTTCCTTTTAAGAGTTTGAGGTGCAGTTTCCCAGAAACCTCTCACCTATCTCCTTGAAATTTGGCAGGCTTCATGCCCTCAGAAGGGACTACCATTCCTGCAATTTGCATCCAAATCAGGAAAGAAATGACAGTTTTAGGCATTTTCATGATTCCCCATTATAGCCTATGGATGAAATGTCAAAACGCATCAAAACAGCAAAACAGTTTTGACAAAACAAAACAAAATGATGAAATGAAACACTGTCCCTTTGAAATGGCGAAATGGATGTCAAAATGAAATGTTGTTGTTTCACTCAGCCCTAGTGTCCATGTCCCCCTTCTCTACCCATGTCAAGTTGTTTTTTATATTAAAGACAGTGTACTTGGCAGTTGTGTGAGCGCGCAGTTCACAAAATTGTTAAAAACATGTTAATCTAACATTTCTCTAGGATGGTTTAGATAGGCATGATCCTCCCTTGAATAGGGGGTTGGACTGGATGACCTCCTGTGGTCCCTTCCAGCCCTGCTTTTCTGTGATTATGAGTCCATACAAGGTGTAGACAAAAGACATAAAGGAGTCTAATGTGCAAGTAATAGAAGTTACAGTAGGAAGAAAATGAGAGAAAATAGAAATCAGATTAGAGTTGTCGGTGCTTTGTGCTGTACAATAATCTTTCCACTGCAGAAATGTGGTGTCTGCTTGCTTTGTGGCATTCCAGCCTAAATTGCTAGTATAGTATATGTTTAGTGGGACCATTTTATACTGAGATTAAATTGGCTGACAGGCACACACTGAGGGACCTATGCCAAGGTTAGATCCATCAGCATCCTCACAACTCTAAGGAAGCTAAAGAATGGCAATTAAGTATAAGATAACCACAAGGAAAATCAAAGCTGTAATTTTATAGAAATTGAGAGGAACAAGCTACAAAACAACAAGAAAAGATTATGAATAATTGTTAATAAAACTTGAAAAAAATATTTATCGCCTTAAGTTTTTCTCTGGACTAGTGAGTTGGATGGCAGTAAATAGATGGAAAGTGATACGTATATATTAAAAATAAAAGTGCAAATAAATGTGACTTTTCTCTCTTACCATACAAATGCACACGGATGTATGACTAGGAATACTATTGACTTAGCCCAGTAGCAGACACAGAGTTGAGTATTTGCTTTCTTTCAGACAAAACTCAAATTGCAGTGGGAGTTCTACATGAGTCTTGCCCCAGATAGCTCAATAAAGTTAACCAAATTACTTGATTTACTGGATGTCTGATCACTTGACAGGTAGTAAAAGATGCAACGACTGATAGCTGAAATATATAAAGTGTGAAAGAGGGGTAGAAGGCTTACTCTTTATTGACAGTGAGCACTCACAACTTCAGAAGAGGCCAGTGGGTCATTAGAGAAGTCAAATATGCAGTTGCTGACACCCAGAAATATCAAATACATGGAATCTTGTTTCTCTCTCTTCCCCATTTGCTGACGTTGACTGCATTAGCTAACAGGTACTTGGGTTATTTTTACTTCTGGAAAGCAAACTAGCACAAAGACATCATTTCTTGGTAATATTCCAATGCATTATTGTATGCTTGTGCGCAGAATTTATCATCTGATGTTCCTTAGTAACTCCATGTGCCTTTTTGCCTTTTAGCTTGTTACTGACTTATTGGAATTCTGTTTCTACACCTTCCGAGAGTCTCAGGCACTGAAAGTTGAGTTTCCAGCCATGCTGGTGGAAATCATCAGTGACCAGCTACCAAAGGTGGAGTCTGGGAATGCCAAGCCTCTGTACTTTCACAGGAAGTGATGGAAAATGTCTTAATGGATGAACTTTGCCTTAAGTTTCCCTGTGTTATTCCACACTCATGAAGGACCCAAGAAACCACAATTAAACATGCTATTTACACTTGTTCAACAGTCTCTGAATAGTAGAAAATCATGTGAAGGGTTTGGGGATTGGAAGGCAGTTGACCTGGATCTGGCAAGACCTAGATGTCTGGAAATTATCCCCTTTATACTCAAAACACTTAGGAAGTGTTCCCGTTCCTCTGGATGAAAAGCCATATCTAGTCAATAACTCTTTGATTTTGATATTTTAACAGATGGAAGTTTTAAATATGCCATGTAGTTTCTGGTATTGTTTGCTTGTTTTAAAAGGGTTCAAGGACTAATACGAACTTTTTAAAGCTTACCCTTGGTTTGCACATAAAATGTCAAGACAATATGGGGCATTAATATTCTTTTCTTGTAAAAAAAATATATACAAAAACCCTAATGTGTAAAGTAATAACAGAACATTTGGTGTGGAATACTCTTGTTATCCCCACCTGAGGCATTTGTTATCCCATGTTATCCATCATAGGTGATAATACACTGTGTTAAGTGTCCATTTACTATTTAATTAAAAAGGATAAGATGTTAAAACAAATGCCCCAGTTTCCATTTATAGTATCTATTGTGCTGGCTTTACAAATAATTTTTCGCAGTCTTGCTGTACTGTACATTGCTGTATGTATAAATTGTGAAGGACCTGAAATAAGGTGTAAGGAACTTTTGTAAATGAGACAAAAAAATCTTTAATGGTTAATAGGATGAATGGGAAAGTATTTTTGAAAGAATTCTATTTTGCTGGAGACTATTTAAGTACTATCTTTGTCTAAACAAACAAGGTAATTTTTTGTAAAGTGAAATGTTCTGCATGCATAATGAACCGTTTACAGTGTATTTAAGAAAGGGAAAGCTGTGCCTTTTTTAGCATCATATCTAATCTACCATTCTACAGTGTCTGTTGTAAATACCCACATTTAAACCTTTTTCAGTTGTATTTAAACCTTTCTACTTTTCTGTACATTTTTCTCCTTTTTGTCTACTGCTTGCCAAGTGTATGTGACTTGACCACATTTTAGGAATTCTGCTTTGGATTTCTGTAGAAACCTACATTATGTCACGTTTGCAACTTTATGGAGGTTTCATTTAACAAGACAAATTGCAGTCTCCCAAAAGCTTTTGCCAGCTATATGATAAAGTGAGCTTTCCCCTGTACTCCTTTACTCAAAGGGTAAGAGTAAATCATGAAATGTTGAATAATTTTGGGGGAAAAAAATAAACCTTCCCAAATTCTTTACTTTTTCCTTTTACAACTGAATGCATACAACGTCTTAAAGGTCAGATTACAACTTCTGATTGTGCAGCGGGAGAGTGAGCTCTGAGTATGATGAAGGGAACGTGCAAATCACTACAGTAAGTAAACTAGACAGATATGGATTGGTGAAGCTGAATGGCAAGATGCTGATACTGGCAGATTATCTAGGTAGGGTTTCAGTGATAAATTTCAGTGATAAATACAATTGCTGTTTTAATAAAAATCAGACTTAAGTATGAACAGGGAGAAATATTCACACTAAAAGTTGAACTTGAGGTTTTTCTCAAAATTGTTGCGTCTGCGGTCCAACCTTTCTTGGGGCAATTTGCATCATTTCACAGTTTATAAATAAAAAGAATAATGTTGGAGTAGAAGAAAGGACCGTGAACTCCTCTGAAGTTTACTATGTGCTCAGTTAAGTAGAAGAGATTTTCAGAGTTAGAATTCCTAACTGTCCTGGCTGGACAACGCTGACATTTTTAAAATGCATCTCTTTGAGCCAATCCGAATGGAGCATTTTTTAACCAGGTTAAAAATAAATAAATAAATAAATAAATAAAAAATCACACCCCCTTTTTGATTCTAATCTCTGAAGCGAGACCCAATCAACACTACTTGTCTTTTTAAATGACACCTGCCTTATGCAATGGATAATCTGTACAGACTGTATTCAAAGAGGGGGTTTTTATATCTGTTCACACGCACATGCATAAATTATTCAGTTTTGGACATTTAATTCATAAGCAGGTGTTTAAACAGTCAACTGACCTGCACAGCAATATGAAACCCAAACTTCCAACGTGAAATACACAGAATGCAGACCGGTTGCTTACTGTAAAGAACAGTCATAAAACCAGCCTTTCGTTTGCTTTTTCTTAAAAACAACAAGCCTAAAATTGTATATTCTAAGCCAGGTTCTGGATGAATACAGTCGGCAGTAGCTTTTTATATTAACAAAGTTACTGGCTCTTTTTCTGTCTCTAAGTAACTTTGCTTAATTAAACTAGCAAAGCCATATTCTATACTTCACTGTTAAATGCCTGTCCCGAGTCCAAATTATCTGTTTGCTCTTATTTTTGTACCTTATTGCTTTAATCTTGGTTTGGTACAATTCATAATTCACAGAAACTTCATACAATTAATCACACTAAATTAGTTTTAAAAAAGCAATTTTTATCTTTATGCAAAAACGTATGTCTGTCTTTGCAAACAATTGTAAGCAGATTACAATAAATCCTTTACTTTAATCACCTGTTGTTTATGAAACCATTCATTGATTTTTGTTAAAAATCACTTAAGTAGTGGATATAATTGGATATAGATGTTCTAAGAGGCAGTATTCTCTTATCCAGAACACTTAAGCAGAATAGCCATCTCACTTTTTTATTGAAAAGAAATGTACAGCAAAAATAGTTTTTAGCTACAACAAAGAGGTTAAAGTATTTTAAATTTGTTTAGAATGAAATAGGCATCTGTCTCCTGCAAAATAAAAAAAGATAAACTTCAAAATGTCTGTTGTAAAAATGGACTTATGTTGATTGAGCTAATTTATTTTGTTGCAAGGAAAAATGGGGATATACAGCAAAAACATTGTATACACAATTAAAAATGTAAAATAGTTTTAATGATGTACTTCAGTTGGTATTTCAGAAATACTACATCACATTGTGTAACTATTTAGTTGCACAAAGTAAAATAGAAGAAGACTAAAGTTTGCAATATCAGAATCTTATTAAAAGATACTTTACAATCAATAATGCAAAAAGCTAATTCACAGGGTGGTGTTTTCACTGACTTGTTTAAACCATTTATGAATTTAAACAATTCTACAGTTAATGCACTTTTAATTGTTTATTAAAGATTGGACTTTTCCTTTGGTTTTTTTTTTTTTAGAGCAATGTTTTCAGCTGGAGGTCAATGACTTGATAAGATAGACAGCCGTTCTGAGGCCAGGAAACTCAGTGGAATGTTTAAGAATTCTTGACGTTTAAATAGATTCCTGGATGAAAAATAAAAGCAGCCAGCAGTATGGTGTAAACAGTAAAATCTATGCATAATGATGCATTTATAATTAGGGGTTTGCTTCTGTATGTTAAAGCTTTTTAAATAAATAGAAAATATTGTTTGGTCTTTATGTTAATGTCTGCAAGTACCTATTATTTTTTTTTTATATATAAATTGTACAAATATACATGAATTAAAATGGTTTGATTGCAAGAATCCCTTGCACTTTAATCTCAGCTAACTGATAGTGCATTGATTTCCGTGGAAACAAGCCTGTGTGTACTTCTAAGCCATAAATTAGACTTCATGAAATTAGCTAAGTTACATAACATTGTATTCTCCTTCATACACACTGACCGCATTTACACATGTACTTTACTGTGCAGTAACCACAATTACTGTGCAGTACAGGCGGATGGCTATATGTGCACGCTCATACTATGCAGTAAAGATGGTGGCTAACACCGACTTGAGCATAAATTTGATACCTGCATTACACAGGTAACAAATTTACACCCAAGTAGTTACTGTGCAGTAATGCATGCATAAATACCTTACTGAGCAGTATCACTGTGTGTACTGACTTGGGACTAACTTTAGTCCCAAGTCAGTCCATAAACAGTGTTAATGTGCTTTAACACCTGCACGTATAGACACTGGCCTATTCCCACTTATTGTGCAATAATTTACTGCACAGTAAATTTAAGCTGGTGTAAATGAACATTGTAGACATGCCACCAATGGGCTTATCTATTTTTACCAGCCTCTAAGAGTGGGTGTTGGTAGCGCTCACATTGGTGAGTGGGGATGGGTTGGTGGGCCCACACCCAGGGAGCTTCCTTTATTCGCTTCACTTAAGCAAGTTTGGCAAGTATGTTTTCCAGAGGAGCTGCTGTGCCTATTCAAGACAAAAGGTAAAACACGTTCCATACAGAAAGAGAGAGAAAATGAAAATCTTTAATACAGTGGTCTCTGGATTTTGGTAGTCTCACCTGTATTCTCACTTGGAACATCCTCCTCTAGGACAGGCATCTTTATTGTCCATGAGCATAACATTTCTGCCCAAGGAATACATATGAAACCCAACTCAACCAAAACGTCCATTTACTTCAGCAGGTTGTGTCTGAAGTCAGGACTTTTAAGTACAGACACAACACTGAGGCAGCAACAATCTTGGACTTCTCTTGTGCCTGCCCAACACTATCAGCAAGAAAGATTATGTAATAGTGGACTCAGCAGTGTTAAGGCAAAATACCACATTTTATTGCATACAACAGGTACCTTTTCCTCTCAAATCAGCCCCCCACTCAAAATTGGGGTGTGCATATTATATGGAGAGGCTGATCTTCTGCCTGGAATATAAGTACCCTGCTTTGATTCCAGCTCCACAGTGCAGCAGGTATGGCAGTAGTATTCAGGCAGCTGAGGGGGTCAGCTGACTTAATGGCTCATTGTTCTTCCTTGCAGAAGTATTAATGATGGTCTCTCCTTTTCAATGGTCTTGATATTCTGCTATTCAAGCTAAGCTTTCCTGGGACAGTTTTGCTATCTGCTAATTGCTCCTGGTTCTTTTCTGCTGTTTTCCAGCCCTGGAGACTCTTCAGCTCTTTTAAATAACATAGGTGCAACCATGGAGACCAGTCTTCAGCAGCAGCTAGGGTTTCAGTTTTAGTTAAATAGGAAAGGGAGTGACAATCAGCTGAAGATTAGGCATTTCCCCTGCTCTATGCAGCCAGAACTTGGGGGCGGGGAATTTTTCTTCAGCCTGCCTTTCAAAAACACAGTGCATATTATACTCTGGGGTGTGTTGTATGAGAGACAATATGGTGACTTCCCAAATGTTTAGAAGCTGAAAAAAAGAGATGCTGGTCTATAGATGCTACATCCAACAACACTGCTGTTACACTTTTATATTTTGAGTAAAAGCCTTATGGAGCACAGAATCACGTGTCCAGTAGTGTTCTAGTCCATACAAGACTTAGATGGCTGCAACATTTATGGCCACTTTTTATATTACAGTTTTGTTTGCAAATATCAACAAGAGTGAAGTTGAATTTGTGTTTAACTCAGTACGACAATTATAGCAGAGGACTCCAAAAAATAAATGTCAAGGCATGTTCAGAATTTCATGAAATATAGGTACGATAGTTTTGGTTTTGGGGTTGTTTTTTTTTAACTTCAGCTAACCAGTGTTTAGCATTGCTGCATCTGAAGCCTTAGCCATGTTCTTTGTCTGTAATATAAAATGCATCCATTGCTGACAAATTGGCCAAGAATGGGGCAGCAGGCAGAACAGCTCGAGTATACACCTAGCTAAAACACTCCAAGTCATCTTCAAGGTGCAATAGTGATGATCCTCAGAGTGACACTGCAGGCAGATCAACAATATTTAACCAGAACAGGAACAATTCAATGAACTGTAATGTGAACATTTAATTGTTTCAGTTCTATTCTGTACGCGGCTGTGTAATCCAAAATAACTGTGTCATTCTTCAATGTGGCTTAAATGAGTAAAAAAGGAAAAAAAATAAAAAAAGAGAGAGAGACACGTATTATATCAAAATAAGAGCAACTTTATTCCAAAGTATGTCTATACACAGACTTGGGCAGAAATAACCAAAAGTATTACTGAATTATTTCAGTTCCAGCCATCATGTGGATCAGTCCTGATAGTTCAGCAAGGAAACCTTCTGCTCCAGAGGAATACACCGGAGACAAAAAAATGGAGGGAAATCTGCCAGGATTATAAGGGAGGAGAATGTCTAAAGCTACTCAGTGACTTGAGAGAAACATAGGACTTCTAAAGACAATGGAGTGAAAATCTGTCTCCTGGGGACCAGAGCTGAATGCAGCCCAATGAGGGGTACACACAAACATTTCTAGAGACCCAGACGGTCCCAGAATCCTAATTCTACCATCATTACTTGGTGAAGGTAGGCAGAGGCCTCTGTCTCATGGTCCAGGCATCATTACTTGCCAGTGAGAAAAAAGAGCAGGGCAATATGAAAAGAACACTAAAGCTTCTGAAAAAGATAAAACTACCTTCATTTTCCTAACAGATTCACTTACTCCAGTTACTTCATCCTGCAAAGTATACTGCTCTAATAACTTTAAAAAGCCCCCACCAATTGCAAAAATTCAGAGATACACCCACACCAACTAAAGAGTAAACTCCAGATAGGACTCTGGTTGGAGCTGTGCCAGTGCTCATGCTGCAACAATAGATTACCAGTATAGGAAACCCGCTGCTAAAAACGAATAGCAGGGGCTCTTCTGAATGAAAGTGAAAACTGCTGCAGTGCTGAAAAGCCTGGCCATAATGGAGAAGTCAATAGAGACCTGTGCTCAGCTGATAAAGAAACCAGGAAGGAATAGCATGACTATTACTTGCTGTAGGAAATGGGAGGAGACAATAGGAACAAGAATCAGGTTGCAATGACCGAGGCAGAGCTGAAGTATAACCAACACAGAAGCCAGAGTTTAAACCTACCAGAGACCAGACAACTAAGAGCCTTGTCACACATTCACTTGCAACAGTTGCAAATCATTAAAATTAGTATGTGTTAGTATGTGCAACCCTCACCTGAAAGGGAACAACTTTTCAACACCAGGTGGGCACTTAACACATGCTAAACTGCTTGAATTTGCATCTGCTTGTGTTTGAACTATACTTAGTATGGATGAAATTATATGTTAGGCCAAACTGAATCTTAACTTAAAATGTTAAGCAGTAAAGAACGTGCTGTGAGCAGTCACACATTAAGGGTTAATACTGTTGCTTGTCTGCACCGATCTGACTTAGCATTAGGGGGCTAGTGATCAGGAATGTGGCTAAGGTGTCAGTCAGCTGGGCTCTGTCCTTGCTTTGCAGGGTAGGGCGAGGGGACTAGGGCCATCCTGGGATACTGAAGGATTACAAATTGCTCGTTTAATTTCCTTGCAGAAGACTGAAGTTCCCCTAACATGAGCTATCAGCACAGCCCATAATTAAGACTCCCCTTAAGTAGCATAACTTTGGGAATCTCAGAGAGCACTTAGCATGAGTTGAAGAGCTTTACCATGCAGACATTCATACTAGGTGCTCTTAGTATGGTCTAAGTGTAATGTGTAACTTTACCCTAGGTGTTAAGTTGAATGTGTGACACACCATCTTAATATCAAAACTGCTGGGTAAAGGGAGCTAGAGGTCTTGAGAGGTTATGTTAACCTGCATAATACACAGCAGTATCTTTGCACCACAGCTTGCACCGTTTGTCAGGGAAGACAGGTTGATCATCTCCATAGCCAATTCTCTGATCTTGTCCTCCCCTCTAAGTCAACATTGCTTTAGTTTTCTAATCCTATTGCACAGGGAAAGAAAGAGGTAAGGAGATAAGAGGTAGGTCCCATGCTTCTAGGAAAGGAGGTAAAGCACATTAATGTAATAGGAGGAATGAGAAGAAGCTCTGCTTTCTTATATACACTCTGCCCCTTTCAGTATCGTGCGTCTCCACATTGCCTAGTAAAATTGGTTATAGTGCTGACTGTCAAGAATACACCACAAATACCTATAAAGAAAGGGAGGGCTGGACTACCACACTAGCCATATTTCATAGCTTTCCCTAAGCATTAATCAGAGTCTAAGCTGAGGTGAGAAGCTTCATCTTAAATTGCAGATTCACCACAACTGAATACTTAGGAGCAACAGGCAGCCTGATTAACTTACTAGCTAGATCAGAACAAGGCTGGCTCATACGCTCGCTCTAAGATAAGATGACGTCAGAAAGAAAAATGGAATTGGCTAAGTTACCTTTGCACGGTGTAATGCTCTCTTCCTCTTCTTTGGGTCCCATGTGGCCCCCAAAGGCTACTGAAAGCAAAGAGCCTAAGATAACAGGAGGCTCAGAACGTTCCATGTTATCCTTTCCAGATCTGAAGGCAATGCAGCAAATAGGGTCATGGATATGCGTGGAAGAGAGACACCACAATGTCTTGCCACCTTCCTTTGTGTTTAACTAAACCCTTTCAACTAAGTAGAAAAGTGAAATAAAGGAACACAGGGCAGGGCAAAATATACTTTGGGCTAAAATATCAGGCTGGGTTGACTGAACCTTTTGTCTATTGTTCACAGGATGAGAACAACTGCCAAGGCTTGTAACTTTCAGAGTTGCCACAGCCTAGCTGATTGACAAGGAACTGTCATAGTCTACTGGTCCCACTTCTATGCTATTCAAAAACAAAATGAATTACATTCTCCCCATACTTCCAGACACTTTCACCAGTTGACACCAACGGGAACGCTGAGAATATCAGTAATCATGAATGCAATGTACTGCCTTCAGAACGCAGGCGCGTGACACTGAACAACTCCTCTAGGGCACAAGTGAGTCTGCACGGCTGCAGTCCCACTGGTCCCTACTCAATGATCAGAGAACACAACACTCGGCCAAAACGTTGTCTTTCCACCTGAAAATATCTGAAAGAAGGATGCTGCTATATATTGCTGTGTTAGCAGTGGGATTATTTCCTGAATACTGCAAAGAAAAGAATTAAAAAGTCTCTTCTCCACTACAGTATCCCAACAACTCCAGTGTTTTAAGGTAAGGATTTTTGTGGGTGATATCTTTCATAGGAGGGATGTAGCTTTCAGGTACCACTGTACTGTTCCTCAGGTCTCAGAAAAGAGGAGACAGCAGAACTCATCCAATATGTTGGTCATACAACCTATATGCTGATAACCTTCCATAAAGAACTGCCTTAAAGCTGTCTGGTAGAGTCACTCTCTCAGATGCAACAAAAATATACTAAACCTCATGGCTTAGAAAAGAGCCATTTGGATCTGGAGAGCCGCACCAACTTGGCCCACCATTGCTCCATCTGGAGATCATTTGTGGAATCATCCTGAGGATCTCTACAGTTCTGGGCAATGGAACAAATAATGGTGTTCAGTTAAAACTTAAAAAGAAAAAAAAACATCTAGGAGAGCATTAACCATTGAATGCATAATTTACTGCATTACCTCAAAGGGCTTATAACTTACTATATCTGCAACATTTTTGCCTTGTAAAAAAATTTATGAAGCCCAATTTGTTATTACAACCTATTTATCATTGTGCTACTCTTATATTCTTTTAGACAGACTTTCTCTGAGGGAGGGAAACCATAAAAGTTAAGGACAAATTGCTGTGGGAACTGAGAGGTATATGGCACAGTTTACAGCAGAACCAAATTATGATATCCTTACTATGCACGTGGGTTGGTGTGCTACTACTTGAATAGGCCTACAAATGCGACTACTTCAAGACACTGCTCAATGCAATTAAGAAATCCAGAGCTTGACACTACATGGTTAAGAGCTTCATCTTTCTTGAAGTCACTGGGAATAACTCCCAATGAATTTTACTGGTGCAGCTTTTGGTTTTGAGTGCTTCTCAGCTTTGTTGGTTCAGATGAGGTATAGTATATCTGCTAACAGTGACATTTTCTCTCTTCTTATGAACTCCAATATCCCATGGTACAGAAGAAGGGAAATAAGGTAAGATTTAAAACAGATGAAGATGATAATAGAAGAGTCAGGATTTGAGACGTATATTATGAAGTTCATGGACTGGCCGTGAAATGAGTGTAGTGAGTTCACAAGTGAACTGTCTCTAACATACTAGAGTGAAATAAGTGCTACTCATCTTCCAGGACATTAATTACCAATTGAGCAAAAAGACCTCATTTTATGGCATTCCCCTTTATCTGGTAAATGGTCTAGGCATCAGTGGGCAAAAAGGTATTGATTTTGGTGAAAAGGAAAGCACAGAAGGGGGAGACAAGGGTACATGCAGACCCCCTTTCAAATTTATTTCCCTGAGAGAACAAAAAGGAAGAATATTGGAGGGTGGGGGGGGGAGGAACAGGGAACAGGGTTGAGTAACAGGCTGCAGGCACAGAGAAAGGAAGGGAAAGGGAAGGCCACACACAACTCCAGCCAGAGCTGTGGTATGAAGTTGAGAGAGTGAAGTGTACATAGATCTTCTGGCATGGAGAAGGGGTTGCAGGGAAACCCTGTAATAAGGGGAGAGAGGAGAATGGCACCCAGACAGCCCCTGACTTGGGGCTGCAAACCCAACCTGCAGGGACAACATTGTATGTTCTGTTGTTCATGGTGGTTAGAGACGTCTGCAAGTAAGATGTCTGCTGTCAGTGAGGAAGGTTCTCCTTCCCCGCTCTCCTGCCTGTTGAGAATAAGCAATGCCTTGCTATTTACTGATTCTGCACACACAGCTGCCAATAATTAAGAAAAGTGTATTTTAGTTAATAGTTTATATAAACAGCTTTCTGCAACACTGTGCTTGATGGACAGTTATCAAGACAAACAGCAAATACAATTTTATTTTATTTACAGTGATTTTTGGAGTGGGAAAACTACTGTGAAAACTGCACGTTGTGAACCCAGGAGGTCCTGGAGCCAGCGGGTACATGTTCATGTGTTTTATCTTGATAAAATACTTTGAATGAAGCCACACACATTATACAAATGGAGCTGCACGTGGAAAATTTTGTGGGCCCTTCTTTATGGGTTTTACTTACTGATACCTGTTGTCCACCTACTGCTTCTTCCCTCTCAGAAAATAAATCCTGTCACCAGCATTAAAGCCTCTTTGTCCAATCTCTTGTCAGAACCAGAAAGAGATTCAGTTAATACAATTGAGCAGTGGATATAAATACGGTTCTCTAAAATCTCAGCTTCATGAGAACCTGGACAACAAAAATACTCGTCGGCTGACAGCAGAGCCAGAGTTCATTCAAAACTCTGAATTAAAATTCTAGATATTCTGCAAACAAAAAATTTCCTATAGTTCTTTACACATGTAAAACTCCCTTTATAAAATTAAAACTACTTCTCCAACCCTTAATCCCCTCTCCACTCCCACCCCTAAAAAACCCTGAAGAATCACAATTTTGCAATTCCTATTTGGCAACATTGTATGTCTTTAAACAGATTTTTATCTTCATCCCATTATCAGGCTCTTCACAGACTAAAAACAGTCACCAAAGCAAAGAGAAGTGACTATAACAAAAACTCATGGATACCATGTACACCTTCTGGGCGTTCAGTGCAGAGAGCTATAGAAATTGCACATAGTTTTCTGGAATAAGTCCTCTCTTGCCATTTAGAGTTCCTTCTAGCCATCCTGGTTCTCTGGATAATTGCACTAAAATAGGAAGATAAAAAAAGACCTAGTTATTGAACTATTTTTACAGTGTATTTGTGTTCAATTTGCTGCTTCAATTTTTTTTTCAACTCTCCTTACAAAAAGCCCAGAAAAAAAATATCAGACCATTTGCACAGACCAAGGGCGCCAAACACCTAGCTCACAGGCTGGATCTGGCCGGCAGAAGCCCTTCATCTAGCCGTAGGGAATTTGGGGGCATGGCCAGCAATGGCCTCCTGTGAAATGCAGCTTTTCCTCTCCCCCCAGCAGCAGGCATATGAGCAACCCTGGGACACCAGATAAGTTTGACACCCTAGTATACAACATTCTGGACAACATGGGGCAGGAAAAGGGCTAGTATCTCACTGCTTTTTTTAAATACTTGTACTCGTTTTCAGCCGAAGGTGGCCTGTGAAATCCAAACTGGGATGTTTGTAATATTCTTCTAAAGGAGAGTGGAGTAAGATTGGACAGGGGTGTTGGCTGGTCTCAGGATATAGGCAGACAAGGGTAAATCAGATATCTTTTATTAGACCAACTAAAATTGCAAAGAAGAATTTTGCCAACTATTTTAGTTCGTCTAATAAAAGATACCAGATTTACCCAAAGCACCTTGTCTATAAGATTGGGCAATCATTTTTGAGGGGTTGGGATGGGGGAGGTTGTTGAACAGAGAGATCAGGATATTTATCTGGTGAAAGGAAGCTCTGGAAGGATTAAGGATAGAAGTGCAGGAGGCTGCAACTTAAGGTACAAAGAGAAAGGTTTGGTTTTGGCTCTCATCAGGAGTTTAAAGCGATAAAGTAAGTTTAGAAGCCTAGTGGGGACTGGCTAGAACTGCTGTCAAGCATGATAAGGACAAGTTAATAGCTAGGACAGAGCAAGGCAAGGCAAAAAAAAAAAGAAGCAGCCAAAATAAGACATTTCCATATGTAATCATTCTACTGATCACTATAAGAATTGCTATATATTATCTTCTTTGCAAAGCTGTAATAACATCAGCCTCCTGCAATTTCTGTGTATGCCTCCTGGGTTGACATTTTGTTTCTACAGTTGCCTGAATAACAAAAGTTTAAACAAAATAGTGCAACACCTTTGTTTAGGGCTTAATGGAGAAGTCTGACAGCTTTGAGCTCAAGGTAAACGTCAGACTGGGTTATACTATATGCAGTTTAAGTTGAACATGTGGAAGGAGGCGGGGGGGGAGGGGGGACACACAACTCAAATCTCATAACAAGGAAGTGCCATCTCTAGACAGATGAACTAGTTGCATCTCGAGTCATGCGAGGGCCTATCACTTCTGTGCTGCCCTTGACAGCTCACTGAGAACACCCCTGCCCACTCACATGCACAAATCTGGAAAGAGGCAGTGGAGCCACATTGAAGGTGTCCCTTGCCTCAACTCTTGAGATCAGTCTCTGTCATTTGACAGCAGTAGCAGGGCCCCTTCAGGGTGGGTTCATCGCATCATGTCCTGCTATGTTACTCATAAAAAAAAAAGTTTGCCCTATATGCTTTCCTTCCCTAGGTGGGTACTATTGCCAGTTTATATGCAAACCATGCTGCTCAGACAAGTACAATAAATGAAATGTATTTTTAAGAGGACTTAAAAAATCAGATAGCAAACCTGCTTTTAAATGACTCTGTTACACTTTCCAGTCATGGCAAAAATCTAGGAGTGTATTCACAATGGAAGGTTTTGATTAAAAATTTGCCACAAAAAAATAGTACATAGAAAAGTACCTTTTAAGCATCTCTGAGCACACAGTAACTTCCAGTGCAATTAATAATTAGCACGCTCTCCCTCCCTCCCTTTGTCACTTTCATCCCGTGATTATACAGTACACACAGACTTGTACAGGCAACGCTCTTAACTCTACCACAAACCTCCCTCTGGATATCCCACCACCACAGCTGTAATTCTACCACCTCGAGCAAACACAATGACAATGCTAACAAAGTCCTTCCCCTTTTCTGGAGTGAACATATCAGCATGACTGGCCGCCACAGGTTTGGAAGCTTATCTTTATTAGAAAGGAACTTGCAACCAAAAGAACAATAGAGAGACAAAGACAAAAAAAAGAGAAAAAAATCCCATCAAAATATTAAACTCTTCCTTGCACTTTGGAATTTAAAGTCAGTATATTATTTGGGTCAGCCTGGTGTGCAGACAAGATGAGAATTTGGATAGATGGTCATATTTGCAATTCGAAGGCCCAGTTTACCATCCAAAATTGTGTGATTAGTTAGATTTGACATTGTGTTTAAGAAGAAAGGGGTCGAGGGCACCTCAAAGTGAAGTTCTGAAACTGGTGAAGAGGAAATGTTTGATGAAGTACACAAAATAATTGGTCTGGCAGCAACATAAGTTAATTTTAAGAGAAACATTTTTTTTTTTTTTTTTTAAACACAAGTTGATTTTTTCATACCAAAACCTAAATAACACAACCTTGGGATGCAGCCCACAGAACCAGCCTCGGGTGACAGTGGCATTTTGTCACTCAAGGAGGATTAGGAATGGACTGGCAAAGATGCTGCAGAGTCAGAGTCCACAGCAAGTGCAGCACAGCTTTATTTAAGAAGCACATGCAGCAAACATCCTGTCGGGCTCAAGGCAAAACTATTTGTGCTCACAAAGCCTGACAACACTTGTGTGCATTATAAAGACTAAAGATAAGGACAAAGCAAGTAGGACAATGGCCATGTCAATACTGCTTCCACAGAACTCCTGAGAGGGAGCCCTCAATATGGTTTCGCTGCCTTGTTTCCCAGTTTGGCACATATGGAGCGGGAGTAGGTGGGTAGGTGTGCTTCTTGGCAGCATACTCAGGAAGGCTATGAAAGCAGCCCAGACATGTTCAACAGGACTGCCATGTTGGGAAATGTTGATCTGTTCCTCACTGTGTGGGCAGACTGTTGGCACTTAATTTTAAACTGTCTTCATAACTGTTCCATTTATTAACTGGTCCATTTAGTAACAAAGGAACAGCCTACAGACGGGCTTCCCCACAGGTCTAGAGAATAATAGGGCACTACTGATGTAGTACAAATGAAGGAGATGCCCAAATTGCCAGCATCTTCCACAAGGCAAGTGAGAACAAAAAAAGGGAATGGTCCACAGGTCAACCTATTTTAAATTCTAATAATCCACTATTCCCTATTACTATTTCTCCTAAGTATACTGTACAAACACGTTCATTAACAGTCTTACCACATTCACTGACTCTGGGATTGCACACAGTGCGCATGCTCTCTTTAAAGCACGGGTTGTTTAGATTCATTTTTCCAGCAATCTCCTGCTCAGGAGAGGTTCTTCTGCAGTGTCCCCTTTCTGTCATTCTCTCTCAATCAGCAGTGATTACAGTCCTTAATACTTTCTCGGGACCGCTTCATTTAAAAATACCTTGCTGCAAAATCTAAGCATTTGGCCTTAAAACGACTATCCATTATTGGACTATGGATCCCATAGGATTAAGTTCTATATTGGCTGGAGACAAGAAGCCAAAATATTTGTAGTTTAAAAGATATGGGGACACAAAATTAAAATGAACTGTGACACAATGACATTAAATGGTATGTGGAAAAAAAGGAACTGCAGTGCTGGCTACAGAATGAATGTCTAAAGTTACTATCTGTCGAGATAGTGGAATAGCAGCTGGACTTCTGAACCCAGAGCAACAAAGTTTCTCCTTGTTTTTGTTTCTAGGATCCATTTTATTTGCCCCTGTTATATTAGTTGAGGCACCATCTTTTTATTGGGCAGATGTCTGTCACCTGAAAAGATCAAACTGCCATGGGAAACTATGAAAAAACACACACAAAACCCTGAGACATGTCAGAATAATATTTCTCTAGGTAAGCAATTGAGAGGGTTTCCTTTACATCTGTAGTATGCCTTGTCTTCTTTGAATAGTGCCAATGCTAAGTAGATATTTAGGCCCAAAGCTTTCTCCACAGGGGGACTTTAAACTTGACACCTGGCATCTCTAGCCATGCTGCCAGATTGGGGGTGGATGCACAGGGGGGAATGAGAGGCTCCTAGGGAGGGAGAGGGAGTGGGGGGGAGATGCAACAGATAGATGCTGGCTGTGTGGTTTTGATAATTAGCTGACTGCCTGCCCTGAACTGGACCTAGAATGATTCATGGTTGGGGCTGATATTCAGCTCTGGATCTGGCACCTGACCCAGGACTATCCAGCTAGGGCCAACAATTAGGGGATTGTGAGGCCTGTGTGTGGGGCTGCAGCACTCAGTTTTGACCTTGCCAGTGCAGAGAGTACCCAGGATCAATAATCCCAGGTTCCTGCACTGGCAAGTAGCAATGGTGCGACAGGGATCTGATCCCCAATTCCAAAACAGTGCCTCCTGCCATGCATGTGTGGCATGGCAGAAGGCACAACAGTTGGGATCAGGGACCAGATCCCACCTCGCTATTAAAAGAACGTGTGCCAGAGAAATCTCATTGCAAAGAGAACAGCAAGAGCAAACTGCATTTTGGAGACATCCGTCCTACTGGGCAGTGCTGAGGCTTAGAAATGTTTGGAGCAATTTCTAAGGATAAGTCTACAGGAGAGATGTACAAATGTTTAAACAGGTTAAGATCAATATGGAGCTAAAGCACATTTCTAAACAGCTCGCTGCTTCCAAAGTAATTCCAAAACCCTGAAATCCATGAGGAGAGAAAGTATTATCGAATGCATCAAGCATGGGACTAGCAGCCAAGAGATCTTATTTTTTGCTCTGCTGCAGATTTGCTGTGAGATCATAAATGACACAGTTTGCTTCTGTGTTTCAGTGACTCTGTGTAAAATGGAGATAATTAATGCTCCCCAATGCATAAGAGCATTGGTAAGGTGCTCTGAAATGTGCAGATAAAAGGCGTTGGAGGAATGCAAAGGAGTATCACCATAATATTTTATCCCTGTTTTTCTCTTTTGGCACAAGGATTCTGTCCATGTACCATTTAATATTACATCAAAGACCAAGGTGAAGTAGTCCTC